CAGCTTCGTTGCACAGTCGACAGCGGTGAGCCACCGACTGACAATTAACCACCAAACTTGCTGCAGGGACTGCGCAAGACCGTTCAATTTCTGTCGGAGCTCTTGAGGTTTTGCTTGCCTTGTGCTGGACACCGCGTTCTTCGGTAACCCCACAAGAAGAAGTCAGCTGGGGTTAAATCTGACGATCGTAGGGGGTAGTCAACAGATCCTCTGCGTCCTATATATCCACAGGTCGGGAAAACTTTTGCCAAGATAGACCTCGACATCAGGGTGGTGATGTCGGGTGCCCCGTCTTGTTGATACCACACGTCCTCACCTCCTTACAGCTGGCAAAGAGTGGGGACAGTGGATTCTTGAATGTGTGTACATATTTTTGGGTAATTCTTTACCGCCCACACTGCAAACATTATTTACTGTATTTTCTGATTCTAACATGTAACACGCATCATAACAAAAGACCAGTTGTTTCATACTGTTTAGGAAAAGAAACGGATTTTAATCTCGAGGATTACACGGAAACTACAAAAACACACAGAAAACTGCAGATTCACTGAATGACACGTAAAGCAGGTCCTGCGCTTGACAGGGTTAAGAAAGCTGTAGTTTTCTGAAGGCCGAATGGAGAAATGTTTTCAGTGGATTGTATATAAAAGAGGGCCGTTACTATTTCCTTCGTGCTGTTTGCGAAGACCTGTTCTGTCATCTTTAATTGGCTAATTACTTGTGACTAAATTGTAGTATTCCACGCCACTGTCGGTAAACGCTGATGGATGTCTTCTAGGTTGTCTGATGATGGAGGCAGCAAGGACCTCTGAAACGTTGGTAAACTTCTACCAGATTACAGAGACTACACAGCGAAACAACCCAGAGGACATTAATCCTTAGTCTGGTAGATGTTTGCCGACGTTTTAGAGGTCCTTCCTGCGTCCATCCCGTCGTGACAATCTCAAATCCTACTCCGTAAACGTCCTTCACATTACAAATAACACCTAAGTATCTGTGTGGCGAAATATTTGTGAAACAGGAAGTAGCCTACTTTTACCACTGTTAGTGGTACGAGGATGTCAGGTTGATTAGCATTTTTTTCCCAATCATTGTCCAGAAATATTATCTTCGCCGAGGCAGTTACTCAAACGGCGTGCCTTCTCATGTAAAACAGGAGTGTGACGAAATGATCTACAGCGTCATTCAATTCTTCAGGACTCTTGGCAGAGTATATCGTAAGAAAGCGAGTGGCTTCAGGTCAGGCCTGGTCACAGGCGCTACCGATGGTACATGCTTGAACAGAATGCTGCTTATTTATCTGTTACCCCTCCACGCCCCTCTGATTCCCATGCCGTTTACTTCTAACGGACGTGCAACGCACAGATTCGCCACAACAGTTGAGCAATTTATTTCAACAGTCTGGATTTATAAATAAATAAAAGTTTTGGTTAAATGAGAAAGGGCACGTGGGGCAAGACGACAAACAATGAAACAATGGAGCACAAAATAACGCAATTCGTGGTGTGCGCATTGAGCTATGGGCCCAAACCATTCCCTCCCTAACAGGCTACGTCCGCATCGGTGGGGCTCGATAAAGGACAAAGGACAATTTCACCACAGTCAGGTAAGCAGGTGCGGTTTCATTGTAGGCACATTTTCTATCGAACAACACAACTTTATTTTCGAAGTATATAAATGGGGAAAACTTTTATTTATTATCCTACATTCGCATCGTTTGGCCTATTTTAAATGGTACACGTGGTGGAAAAGTTGAGAACTCCCAACATGCATTGCATTTGCAAACTACGAAAAGGTTTTAAACACGCATAATCAAAAAAAAAATCCCAGTAAACGTAATAAGAGCAGTACAATATGGATAAATATATACTTAAATAATAATTTAAAATGGAGGTACAGTGTGAATAAAATAATATATCAAACACCAATCAATAATACATCAAGGCGTCGGGCTTGAATGTTATTAATCTGTTCAATACAAGCGTGATGTTTTTTTGAGAGAGAAAAATCAAAAGCAATTAACTTCAAAGACGTGAGATTTCAAGTCTTCTAGGTTGCTGCGCAGTGCAATAAGGGCGATGATGGGGGTAGCAAGGACCTCTGAAACGTCGGTAAACTTGTACCTGATTACAAGGCGCAACAACCCAAAAGACAGTCATCTTCGGACTCAATGATTCCGATTCACATAAATATTCTTTTGCCTTTAAGATCAGATCTGTGACCTGCATGAAAGATGATCTCTAGAGAGTCATTTCCACATTACACACGCTAATATAATTAGTTCGACATGTAAATTCCATCTTAAATCAAAAATAACTGCATTTATGTGAAAAGAATATATGCGTACAAGAGCAGACACTGATCCAGATAATAAAACACTTTAAAATTTGTAATTTATAACTTATTTAAGATGTGGGGTCACTCTGAGAGAGAGAGGAAAATGATGTCCTAGAGTTCGACAGTCATAAGAAAGAAGCTAGGGATATATCAAAAACAATGATTACTAAAATCTTATAGAATAGTAGCAACGCAAATGTTTTTAGGTCCTATATGAAGCCAATGGGTGTCGACAAAAGACGAAACAAGAATGGAGTGGGGAGAAATGAGTTCCCTCAGAGAGACCTCAATGTACAGAATGGCGAGTGATAAACAAACAGACAATAAAGACGTCAGAAAAAAGCAAATGGGAAAAACTACCAAAAGAACATTCAGAAACGATACCGAAAACAGAATCCTGAAGTTGGTCGACACAAACAGAATGCAAAAAAAAATTGCAGGGAACGTGATATCACAACATCCAAAGAAAGGGTTAAATCCTTGTAACAGGACAACAAAATTATCAGCGATGTTCATGACGAAGTCCGTAAACATATCACCGATTTATAAAAATCACTAGTGTTAAAATTAAGTACTACTTCGCAGTCTGTTCGCAAAGCATTCATTAAGCCAACGTTCACCTTACTGCCTCACAATTCCTTACAAAAGTCATTTCCGACGAACTAAATTTATACCCGCCTTAGATAAACTCTAAAAATACAAACGTTTCATGATCTGAACACCGTCCAAGTTTCTTCACACCTTAACCGCCGCGTCGTTTGGTTTCGGTCGACAGCTTCACGCCATGTGAGTTGGAACAAACTTGAGGATCAATGCACCCCTCACTGTTGTATGCCAGCCTCCGAAACGGCAAATACAGAGAAACAAAATTCCTCATCGAGACCGTGTTAATGCACCTCCAGTTCTGAAAACATTCCGCGTATGTAGGGTTACACCAAGCAGCAACCAGCCACCCAAAAGTCTCAATTTCCCCGCCCCACCCAGAAGAATGTTTATATTGTACCCTCAAACAGGAAATAATCTTTTCTTCAGAATTAACACCGAAGATAACTCTACGGCACATAACCTCCAGAAATGGAACAAAAAGGTTGAAAAGATAAAAAGGATATTGAACCCAGATCAGGGGTCTTCAACCCTTTTCGCTAGCATACCACTAATTCTAATTTAACATATTAAATGTACCACTAACCAAATGCGTTCAGAGACTTACTTATGTTAATATTATCTTTTGATTGTCTTACTTAGTTCGCGTACCACCAGTGGTATGCGTACCATAGGTTGAGAAACGCTTACCTAGATGATAAAAACAATTGGTAGACAACGGTTTTAAATGTGTTCATAAAGATCACTTAAAATAAAATGGCTATAAAATGTACAACATACACCAACACTGGGCATGTTTAAGGCAGCGTCCGCAAGAAGTTATACATTTAATTGTGACAAATGTTTCTGAAAACGGTTCGAAAGGGGAAGGGCATTACCCACCCAGTTCGGTTTCTACAGATCAGACCTTGCGGAAATAGCAAATTCCTTAAATTTCATTTCGCAAAGGAACACGCGCACCCCTGAAAAGTATACCATCCACTGCATCACGCACAGACTCATTTTTCACGTCGCACAGATCGGTGCCACAACTCGGTTCAGAACTCTGGTTTACCACAAACTAGTGTCCATCATAACCGCTCATGTGATCATAGAAGTCACGTGGTGGACCACACAATTTTAAATCCCAAGGATGTAATCGGTGACAAGCAAGCCGTGGGACCATGAGACTAAGAGGATTGTCGCAAATTAAGAGAACTGGTTGATCGAGCGGAGTTTTGGTATTTTCGCCAAAGATACAACAATTCAACAAACACTTCCCCACTAATCCACTTTTTTTGTGTGTGGTTTTCGTCAGTTTCCGGAAAGCATAGATAGACGCGTATGGGAGGACAACATAGAAACAAATCTCAAAGAAATAGGATCGGATGAGGACTTGAAATACCTGGCTCAGGATACGGGCAGTGGCGAGCGCTTGAAGACACAGTAAAGAACATTCCGGTTCGTAACAGGCGGCGATTACCTCACTAGCTAAGCGCCTATCAGCTTCATGAGGAAATCCTTACATCATGTCACTGTACAGGAAGGTCGCAAGAGATAACGTATTGTACCAAACGCTGACAAATACAGGCATACCTCGTTTCATTGCGATTCGCAGATACTGCGTTCTTTACAAATTGATGGTTTGTGTGGCAACCCTGCGTCAAGCAAGTCTATCGGCGCCATTTTTCCAACAGCACGTGCTCACTTCGTGTCTCTGTGTCACATTTTGGTAATTCTCGCATTGTTTTTTAAACATAATGCTATTGCACGCTTAATAGACTACAGTATAGTTTAAACATAACTTTTATATGCACTGAGAAAACAAAAAATTCGCGTGACTCGCTTTATTGCGGTGGTCTGGAACCGAACCCGCAATATCTCCGAGGTATGCCTGAACTGAACAATATATCACACGTATCTGAACACACACAATAATGGTGCAATGCCCATAGGTTGCCAATATCAGAATATGTTCAAACTAGAAATTCCCGGGAATAATCTACGTACTCAGCAAGTATTATTGCGACAGAAGTCTTTCAAAAACTAGACTTTACGATAAGGAACCCGATATAAGACGAATGGGGAAGTCCAACCCCACGAAATGTTAACCTGGCCAATAAATGGACCTATGTCGTTCGTCAGCTGATTTACCGTCATGGGAAGGACCTCAATACAAAACGCATTAAGAACTGATGGATCCCAGACTAGGTCTGGACGTGGTGGCGAAAAGTCCTTGCCGGGAATCCAGCCCCGGTCGTCTAGCCCCAGTGGCCTGGTAACAATAATAGTTATATATGCGCTTATTTGTATTTTTTACAAACATATCATACAACATGTGGAAGATATTACGTATTTTCATTCTATTTCATTAAATGCAGATCATATCAAACAATGCTCCCGATAAAAGTTCGAGATTTTCATAAGGTCTAAACCTACATTTCAATGTTCAAGAGAAGTACATCTTTTTTGTACTATGATTAGTTTTGATCAAATCGATACACCTCAGATTTAGCTTCACCTAAAAAAGTTATTAAATGTTCAATGTATACAGCTTATCCCAATAATAAATTTCACCGAGATCCAATGAGTATTTTCGAAAATTGTCTGTCCCCCCTCCAAACACGACATCCCCATATTCGTTTAGGTTTCGGACTTTCTGCGAAAAAGTTACTGGGGCGCCAGACAGCTGACGCTCGACACACAACTGACGTCACAGCAGCTGTTCACCACACGTGTACTGGTCGTGGTACAGGTACTGTGATCGAGAAGAACCCAGAATCCAGATCGGATTTCCAGCTTTCCCAACCTTAATTTTCGTGGTTCTCCTCTGTCATTTTGAGGTCGTGCAGAATATCACAACCTAAATATAAAATTTCATTCATCTGTCCAATGGTTCTCGAGTAGAATCGACTGGACAGATGGACTGATGGACGGACGAAGAGACACGACCAGCCCATTGTGTGTTCTCGCTGTGCATTTTGTGCAAATAACGCATAAAAATTAATTGAAAGTTGTCAAATTCGTTTAAGGGCATCACGTAGGCCCTACTGATTATCGGCTATGCAACAATTTAATACTGTAATCAGACACAAGTCGACCTACTGGTATCGATATCTTCTTAGGTTCCGTTTCGCGCAAGTTGTCTGTACCAAATTTTACGTGTAAATACTGCGAATAACAGATCCCAATTTGGAATTTAACGAGTGGTGAAATAAAACAAGTGGCGTAAGGAGGAACTCGCTGAATGTTGTATAAGGAATAAGAGAAATGGTCGATAGAAGAGAATGCTAAACACATACTCTACATAACGTAACGTAACGTTTGTCCCACTATACGCCATGTAGGCGTTTGGGGTGAGTGGAGGTATAGCTCCTCTCTTCCTTGATCTCGGCACTAGATGGGGGTGAGTGGTAAGCATCACGCCCCGGCCGGCTTTACCCCCGGGAAAGGACCCCGGTACCCATTGTAGAGGAGGCTGGGTGGGCCCCAGAGCCGGTCTGGACGCCGA